ATGTTGTGCATTCCGGTGCCAGTAATCATTAATATACACTACTCTCATAAAACAAATGAAACGACAACATGCATAACATGATTTTATATCACTTTGGATGCACAATGTGGAGGCATCTGAGTGGCAGCGCTTTAACGCTTCCAAGTAGTTTTATCAGTGTGAGGTGTCAAATGCGGTGACAGGTCTGTTTACAGGTGACAGCTGTGAGCACCTCTGGGGAAGCTGCATAAATGTCGCAATTTTCAAAATGTTATATAAAAACAAAGTTCACTGTCAAAAAAATGTCTGTTCACATAATATCCAAAGATTAAAAAAACAAAAACAAAAAAAACTTTACTACTTTAAATCTGACGCAGCTTGCAGAAGAAAGTCATTGTTTAAAATTTAAACTAATTGACTTTTCGGCTAATTTAAGTCAAATTGAGCGAACTGTTAGACAGCCAGGCGTGGAGACTTAGCTGACCTACTATTGCGATATTCCTACAAGAACAGGAGCAGAGGTCAGGTCGCTGAGTTTTATTGCTTTCCTGCTCACTGCAAACTAGCAGACTGACGTGACTATTTATAAAGTGTGCACACCTGGAGGACTGAGAGGAAGGAGTGAAGGAGAAGTGTTTGCTTAGTTTCCGGTGGGGCATTTATGGCCTGAATCTTGAGTTGTAAAGATTTGTGTATCCTAAATGGATTGTCAATAGTTGTAAAAGCAAGCTTTTCACTGCTAAATGCTGAACCAATCAGATTTCATTGTGAGTGGTGGCTCTCTCACTACACAAGTAGAGTAAACGTTTACTTTTATTTCTCCCTTTCATTTAAATTTGTTTTTTTTTTTTTGGAAAGGGTTTTAGAGAATTGTAAACACAGTCCAATTCAAATAATTTGAAATTACCTTAACATATTGGACGTCAGATCAGCTTTATTATAATTGCTAAGTCCTATGAGCACAATCTCTTCATGTACAGTACAAAATGTGACCCTAATATTCTGGGTCGTGCATCGCATTGTGCGCATGCGCTAGAGAGTACGTATCCGGTCTCCGCTGACACGCGAAGCGTTACCGACACAGGAAGCTAGCTGCTAACCTGCCGCCGCCGACCGTTGAGTCTCCGCGTTGAATGAAAGTAAAACTACTGTTTACGATTTGTTTTGTGTCCAAATGGACACAAACATAAAGTACTGGTTCCACTGGCAGATTATTTCACAAGTAGCAGAACATTTTCCCATGTAATAGGTTGAAATAGCCTCCCAGTGGAATTGGTACTTTTTTCTTCTTTTTTTTAAAGGAATTGTTAACTTAAAACAAGCTCCTATATCTTGCTGAAAAGCTACTTGTCAGTTTGCTTTGTCTTATTTCAAGTGTAATAAGATATTTAAGATATTTATGCTAAAAACTAGACCAAAAACACATACTAAGATTGAGTGTTTTTGCAGTCTGACAGATGAGATGTACGAGGCATTTGCACAATTTGAAGACATGCTGAGGAGCTAATTCAGCCATTTGATTCACTACTCAATAAAAATAAAGGGCATTTTAGGGGAGAACATACATGTTCCTTTTGTATCATGAAGGCAACGATTTCACCTGAAGAAAACGGTGGTGTGTGTGCACAGAAGACATGCAGAACACCCCCTCAAAACAGAATATTTTATTCCCTGAATACACACCTAGAAGAGCACAAAGGACTCAAAGCTCCTTCTTCCAGGAATGTGTCTAACGGCATTATGCTTTCCTGTACTGTACCTAGTACTGAGAATAGGAGAAGAGAGGAGACACACCACCCACCGAGTTATCTAATGCATGACCTGAAATCCTCTGTCGTTCTCTCCTTCCTGCCTGTCTGTCCCCGGGCGCTGCTCTGGGCTCTGGGGATACTGTGAAAGCAGTGAACTTCAAAAAAAAAAAAAAAGGTGAAGCAAACCAGCGAGATGCGAGTGACATCCCAGGTAACCGTGGGGCTGCAGGGCGATTTCACAACTGTGCTGAGATCTTACTGTCTCTGAGCAGCCCAGGCTGTTTCCTCGCTGTCCACAGGTGATCAGGTGTGGGTTTTAGAAAAGGTCAAGGTGTTGTTACGTAACACCTTGAGCTGCGTTGAAAATCTGGAAGCTTTCAGGTTTGTTGTGAAGTGGAGAGAAGATTTCTGTGGCATCAGTTTTTACTATAGAAACAGCGTCACTCCACTTGTGTGGAACTCTAATACAAAATATTTTATTTTTTTACTAAATAATTTGAGAAATGACTGAACATTTTAAGAAAAAGCTTGTTTTTGGGCTCCAAAAATCAGACTTTTGGTGTTCAATAATTCAATAACTCCTGAATCCTCATGATGTCACATGAGGATTCAGGAAATAGAAAAAACAAAATTGTGCATCCCAACTTACCTAAAGCAGGACATGTTTGGTCTGATTTAAGTTTGATCTGACAGGAAAAAAAAAAATCTTTCTAATGCAACTGCACATTTATAGGCTGAGGCTTTTTGGAGTAACACCCCCCAAAAAACAAACACATCAACACATGTAAAACTATTCTCTGAAAGCTGAAGTCATCTGTTGCTATGGGTCTGCCTGCGATCAGAGCTCCTGCCTTATCTGTCGGTTAGGTAATACAGTGGTGCCAGGAGTTATATCTGAGGTGACACCTCATCAGGACTATAAATAGCTGTGCACCTCCCTCCTGGGAGCCCAGCTGCAGCTCTCTCCCAGGCATTAGTTCATTTGTTTATAGGGAGTTGAACTTTCCCACTTCTGCTTTATTCTCCATAAATGTCTGATTCCTGCATATGAACACAGGAACACCCTGAAAGACCCGCAGAACGATGCGTGGAGCTCAGTGCCGTCATCGCTTTATCAAGCCATGATGAAACAGCTGAAGTTGACTTATAAGAAGTTAGCCACTCTTCAAAATGGGCAAGACAGAAAACATGCCATCATAGTAGCAGATGGCTACGTGAAAAGAGATACTGCTTTCAACATGGATATATCTGCAGTCAGAGCAAGAATCGGTGACAAACAAAACCGGACAACAAACCAAATTTATCCTGCCGCCGCTCTCGGTGAGAACTGTGGTTAAAAATAAATCTGCATCATTATCGTTTTTACCAAAGGTGCCAAAAAAGTGTATGAAATAAACACTAAATTCAGAGGGAAGTGAACTCCCTCCCACTTTGTATCACTCTTACATAAATAAAATGTAGGAAGCAAAATAAAGCAAGTGGGCGTGATAGGCGGATGAGAATTGAAATAACATAATAGAAATAAATAATAAAAATGATACAGAAAACCCCCTGGAGGCTGTGTCTGACCCCTGTGAGTCATTGTCTGCATGAGCGTCTCTGGAGTTGAACATGACTCAGTAGAACGCGTCTCTGAAACTCGGCGCTTTCACCGACAATACGGGTGGCTCCCAACCAGGACGAGGCTGCAAATTTATCCTTTAATATTTTATAGAATTGGATAGCGTGTGTGGCTTTTTTTTTCCTTTTGCTTCTTTTATTTACTACTAAGCAGATTTTTTTTTTTTAAGTGTACCTGAATGTGCTGTTAGGGACGAAATGTGGGCATTACACAGAGAAGTAGTGAAATAATCTCTAAGTAAAGCTGCACAGGAAAAGAAACAAAAAACTAGATTAAGTAAACAAAATAGAGACTTTGCTCCATGATTAAATTAAAACAAGAAGAGGTCTATAATTAAGTTTAAAAAAATGGTAACGTAGCACTAAATTAAGGTCATCATTCCTGACAAGGTGGCATGCAAATCATTTCTATGACAACTCAAGTTTTCAGTTTTAATCTTTGTGCTGCTGACTCATTTCTTTTTTTGACATAATTTTCTTTAAAAATTCATCGCATGGAAATGAATACATTTCCTGTATGTAAAAGTTCAATATTTTCTTTATTTTTAAAAACAAAAATAAAATTGTTGTGTTTTTAATTCCAAAACCTAAGCAAATTTCCAACAGTATACATCGCAAAACAAGATAATGTGTTTTATGCAGCCTTTGTGGCTCTGAGTAAATTTGGTTTGAGTGAAAATGACGTGCTAAGGTTGCTGAATCCCAAGTTCAATTGGCTTGAAAGTTTGATTTTTCAGCATCGGTTCTACAGCTGCTAAAATCTGGATAAGAATTTTTCAAATTTCCAACAAGGTGCCATCTACACCTTAATGAATGATTCAGGTTTAGAGCAACAAAGTTGTTTGTTATCAATGGATGGAGTTATCAATGGATGGATGGATGGATGGATGGATGGATGGATGGATGAATTAAAAATAAGACATTCACAACTCTTTCCCTGTCCACCACAGATGTTCTATTAATTGGCAACGACGGCCACAGAGTTAAGAAGCATAGCTTGCTAGCAAGCTTAGCTTTAGCATTAGCACTGTAGCTAAATAAGCTAAACCTGGTTTTCCACTTAAATGTTAAGTCTTAAGCAGAAATTTTCTTGACTGCAAATCTAAGTTAGTTTATTCACTACACAACCGACAGTAACACCAGCCTAATTGTTGTCTGTTAGGCTTTTCACATGATAAATGTGGTTCACAGCTGAGTGAATGAGCGTCCTTGGCTTAATTGTAATTAAAGTATTTTCACAGGATTTGGTACCAAAATAAGATGGCTAATATTAGAACACATTTTCTTGATATAAAATGTGTTATGTTTGATATTCTACAAAAGTCGTTTTTATAGTGCAAAAGTGTTTAGAAGTTTTGTCTTTGGTTTACATAAGATGAAAAAGCTGTTTTACTTTTTAGACTGCATATTTGGTTCAGACCCTCTAAATAAACATGGTCAGTTTCTAAATGATCCCCTGAGACTTCATGAAGCCCTGGACATTTTGTTCTCATCTGTTTTTAAAACCAAATGATTTTTCAATTTGAATAACAGCATCAAGTTAATGATACTCTACATGCATATCTATAGGTATATAAATATGTTTGTACTTCATGCACATGAGTATAAAAGGATTAACATTCAGTTTCTATTAAATCGCTAAAAATCCCTATAGTTTATTGTTAAGGTTGAAAATCTGTATTTTTTTCAGTTTTTCCTTAAAGGTTTGACTCCTCCTCATATCCCATGTGTAAGGAAAGCAAGACAAAAATAAGCTGCTGTTGTTGCTTTTAAACCAGACAAAAAGAACAATTGTGCAACTCCAACTTGCAGTTTTTCAGGTGTTCTAACATTTTTTGCATTGCAGACATAAATAATGGCGCACTTTGTGCCTACGGGGAAACGATCCTTTAGCCTGCGCCACATCGCAGAGTGCGCGCATCTGGTGCCAAACTGGTCTCCGGTTAAGCTGCTGCTGCAGCAGCACATTGTTCTGTTTCTCTTCATCCTGCCTGCTAATATTCAGGCAGCTGAAACTTGAATCACGCCTCACGTGTTGTAGGGTTTTCTGTGATGTTTGGGAACTAAAAAGTGAGATCTCATTGAAACGTTTTTACTCTCTTGGAGGTAAGAGTTGAGATTTGTATTTGTTCTTGTTTTGTAGACGAAAAAAACAAAACAGTGGCTCTCGTGCTTCTGGCTGCGATCGCCGTTTCTTCACGTGCTATGTAGGTCACCCACTTCACTGGACGTGCTTGTTCACCACCCGGGTCCTTCCAGTCGCCCCCCCCCTCCCCCCCTACCAGATCTGAACGAGTGGGCCGCCTGCTGCCGCTGAGAGGCATGCCTCGCCTCCCTCTGCCACAGCTCCTCTCTCTGCTCTGAAGTCGGGGTGTTAATGGGAACTAGATGGAAAGTGTGAGGTGGGAGATGCTGGCTGCTTTCAGCACGCTGGATAGCGCCCTGGGAAGTTGGAGAGGACGCGCGGACGCGCCGGGATTTTAAGTGAATTTAATTTGGGATTCTTTCCGGAGACATGAGCGGCGGCTGATGATGATGATGGCTGATTTTAGGTATTTGTTTGCAGCCAACAGGCGCACGTAACCTAAGAAGGGATTATTATTATTATTATTATTTTTATTTCTCTGCTGTGAGAGACATGGACTTTGCTGACATCCTCTGCGCTCTGTTCATCGTCGTGGTCGCGGTCGTGTCTCTGCTGTCAAACTTGTTGGTGCTGCTATGTTTCGTCCACAGCACCGAGATCCGCCGGCAGGTGCCCGGCGTCTTCACCATGAACTTGTCCTTTTGCAACATCCTCATTACGGTGCTCAACATGCCGGCCACCCTGCTGGGGGTCGTCAGGAACCAGAAGCCCTTCGGGGACTGCGTCTGCCACACGGTAAGCTTCCTGGAGACTTTCCTGACTGCGAACACCATGCTCAGCATGGCCGCGCTCAGCATCGACCGCTGGATCGCGGTGGTCTTCCCGCTCAGCTACGCCACCAAGATGCGCTACAAGGACGCGGTGATCATGGTGGGCTACTCCTGGCTGCACTCTTTCACCTTCTCCCTGACGGCGCTGCTCCTCTCCTGGGTGGACTACAGCGACGTGTACGCGTCCTGCACGCTGCAGCCCAGCGGGGGAGGCAGCGACAAAGTTAAGTTCACGGTTTTCACCGTGGTTTTCCACGCCACCAGCTTCGTGCTGTCGCTGCTCATCCTGTGCTTCACCTACCTGAAAGTGCTGAAAGTCGCCAGGTTTCACTGCAAGAGGATCGACATCATCACCATGCAGACTCTGTTTCTGCTGGTCGACATCCACCCAAGGTGACGCTTCTAACTTTTTATTCGTTCAGACTTGTTTATCCGAACGCTTTTACTAAAATGTGACAAGTATGGCTCGCCAGAAGTGCCACAATTTAATAAATAACCCCGTATTCAATCACTTTGAAATATGCTGTTATCTTGTTTGCGTAATCAACATCGAAGTGATTGTTCCGTTTATTTATTTATTTATTTTTTTTTTACAAATATTTGTGATCCATGTACCAGCATCATTTCGATCATTTTATTTCTCCAACTTCGTGGGTGTTGATTGTTTGAATCTGCATGGTATGCATGGTTTTTGTGTGTATTTGATGTTTTTAAATCACCTTATATAGAGCAAAACTCATAATTTTATTGTATATTTCATATTACAGTGAAAATAAAGGTAATCAAATCTAATTTAACAGCTTAATCAAATTAAATAAGTATTTAAAATGCCACTTATTAAAAAGATAATAAATATATGAAATAAATAAGTGTATCCATAATTCTTAAATGAAGGTCAAAAACTGTGATGAATAAATAAATAAATAAATAAATAAATGTATACAAGATAGCTATCAGTTACTTATTAACAGTAAACATTAAACTAATAAATAAATAAAAAGCTAATACCTACACTGATACACTGAGAATAGTACATATAATGTATTTATTTTTTTATATAGTAAACATCTCATCAATATAAATTACCTCTTTTGCAGGAGAATCCTGACCAAGACAAAATCAGCACAAAAGGCACATTTTTAGTGTTAAAACATTTGACAAATATCAATCAAGACAGTTTAACCATAAAATATGAAATGTAATACATCAAGACTAAAAACAGCAAACAGTTGTAATGAAAGCTCATGAAATGTAACACTTGCAGTAAGATGTGGATTATTTTGTTTTAAAGAAGAGATTGGATCATATCCACTGGGAAACAAAACCCTGAAGATTTTTCCATGCAGAGGGAATACCACGCCTCACTAAATAGTTGATTAAAATATTTATTTATTCTTAAAGAAAAAGATATAGGTATCAACCTTCAACAACATCTTTATCAATCAAATTCAGGGGGCGGGGCTTGAATGTGGGATTAAAAACACTCATTTGGAATATTAAATTTAAATTACACTGAATTATTGATTCACGTTTTATTTAATAAGACTGCACTAGATTTTTAAGTCAATATTTCATTTAAAATAATTTCTTGTTCGAGGTATAAGCGATAATTTTCTGGGAAACTTTGGTTTTCTCTTTCTGTTGCATCCAGACGCTGCTGGGTTTCTTTGGCTTGGTCCCTCGTTTGACATAAAACAAACCTCACAGGCACCACTCACATGGCGGCAGAACTCAGATGATGTCACACAATAATTACAGATAAGATAGGCACCGCACGTCCTCTGCTTGGCTCCCCCTTGTGCCTGTTCTCCATCTCAGTCACTGTAACAGTAGAAGAAGAAACTGCTAAGGACTAAAACAAAAAGAACGACATGAGTTACCATCCATATTAGAGAGTCAGTGGATTTAGTTTAGTCAGGAACCCCCCAAAAACTCTGACCGTTACAGGAATATTGAAACATTTTGTGCTTTAATAATTGTACATATTTTATTTTACATTTACTGAATTTATTTTAAAATGAATCATTTAATTATTATTTCCATATTTAAATAGCGATTGCCAATAATTATCACCTTGTAATAAATTATTACTTAAATAATTATTAGTACAAGCCATTTTTAAAGTTGATATGGACACAATTACATTTAATTTAGAAATACATCAATGATAGATAGATGATAGATATAATGCATTTCTTAAAAAAAATGCAAGTCAGCTACCTCAGCATTTCTATTTCATACTGAATTTCACTCACTCACTCACTCACTCACTCACTCACATTTGGACTTTTCATTCATGTATTGAATAGTGGCCGATTTGGGAATCAATTAAGTATATTTAAATGTATTTATTTGCTCATTTGTGGCACCTTTCGACCTCCATAGTATTACATACAATCAATTTTGAATACCTAGCTATTTATTCATTAGAATGTGGCTATGTTGGATCGCCACACCATGTTTAACTCAGCCTTTCTTTCTTTAACAGTACATTTTTTTTTATTGAACTGTTACACTTTTGTACCTCCATATGCGACACCTGAACGCTCTTCTATTTAATTTATCTGTTGATTTGTGGGACTTTTGGACTTAATTCCTTTCTTTGCTGTTTCCAGCGTCAAACAAAGATGTTTAGCTGAGCAGAAGAGGCGAAAGCAGAGAGCCACAAAGAAGATCAGCATCTTCATCGGCTCATTTATCATCTGCTTTGCTCCTTATGTAATTACAAGGTAAGACGACCCGATGGGAATTCATACATTATTTAATTTAGTGCAAAACCCCTGTGTGAGAGCTTTAAAAATTAACAACCCAACTCATGTAAGTTAATAGGCTGCAGCTCAAACAGCTACCTTGATTTAGTCTGAATATCTTAGTCATCGTCTCACTGTAGAGACTGACAAACAGATCTGCCACAACATTAGGTGAAATTCTGCAGCACACGCTCACATCTCATCAAACTGGATTGTGAAGTGGTGGTTGTTGCATGAATTAAGCTCTAGACAGCCAGACACATCAGACAAATTCTATTTAAACAATAAAAAGTGGCTAAATAAAAGGGAAATGGGGTGCAGTCACAACATTAAAAGCAATCAATTATTAATAGGATAATAATTTGCCTCAACAGAGACACACAGGACAAACCGCCACACACTGACTCACACCTGTAAGACATTTCTGAGGACCTAATTGACTTAACATGCATATTTTTGAAGTGTGGGAGGAAGCCGGAGCACCCAGAGAGAACAAAAACATTCACTGGGAAAATATTCTAAACTCCTGGGTTTGAACCTTGAACTTTCATGCAGCAGCATTAATCTGAACAGTTCTTTGCAATGCTACTAACACTGACTCAAAACAGACCCAAACAGAGATAAGAGTCATCTAAAAAAAAAAAAAAGATTTAGAAACATGGTTTTTCAAAATAAAAGCATTTAAATTTCCCTGCAGAATTAAAAATGTAAGCATGTTTGATATTAAAGTTTCTACAGATCGCAGGGGGTCAAACAGGAACATCAGAGGGGTCTAAATGTGGCCAGATCTTTACTGAACTGGTAGATGACTTTGTTTTGGTTTCTCTGCCTCCCCCCCGCCCCCCACAAAGAAAACCCATGTATGTGTTATAAAACATCTATAAACAGTGTGGAATAATTCAGTAAAAGTTCATTGAAACGTGCTATTCACACTTGTCTCAATCTGACTCGGTGCTAATGCAGACAATGCATTGATGAGGTTCTTTATCAGATTTCACAGTTAGATTAAAGGCTTCACCAATGCCACTTTGGCTTCCAAAGAATCTCTGTTCATTGTAGAACAACCAAATTGAGGTTTTAGTAATCAAAAGTTGATCAGTTGGAGAGCAGACTCCTTCGATAACAGTGTAACGATTCCTTCTGAATGGATGTGCAAATGAAGATACCTGCTGCATCACAACAGCAGGTATACTGAAGGACCCCGCTGGATATATGTCCCTGGGCAGAAAGCCATAATGCCCATCTCAAGAGAACCCCATTTATGGTGTAATTCAAACACTGAAACATAAAGCATGTTTCTCCAGATGTGGTGTTGAAAATCCACAAGGTTTTGGCGTTTACGACGAGAGGATGAGACGTTATCAGGGAACGATTCCCGGCTGACTTGTTGAAGCGCATAACTTGACCCCCTGGCCCCGTGGAAGCCTCCAGCTGGGGCCTAAATGTCTCATCTGGATCAGCCGTGTGCTGGTAAATTGCAATAATCTCCAACCCAATTGCGCCCGTATGATCCAATTTCATTTTAGTGGCACAACATCAGAGCAAGCAGAGAAAACGATCCGGATGGAATCATTTTTTTGGAAATGGGGACCCAGTTGTGTGGGAAATCATGGCTTTTATGGTGCATGTTTAATCATTTTATTTATTAGCCATTGTAGCTTTATTACATCATATTTTATAGCTCATATTTACTGTATTGATAGACGAGCATTAGCCAGACTTCCCCATGGCTGATACCAATTTCTGTTTTCCTTCAAGTTTGCGCTGAGTCAAATTTTCTTTTGACGGATCTTCAGTACCAGAAGTATCCAAACCAATTGAACTTTGTCCAAGTTCACAACAATACACCCATAAATATAAATCTTTCTCTCTGTTGGTGGATGTGGGGTTTTGGTAGGAGGTTTATGTGATTGAGCAACATCAGTTCTAAAGTGGAAGATAAGCGCTTTCAGACTCCCGACCTTTAAAGGGGCAGAAAGACATTGTTACAAAAAAAAAAAAAAGCCAGAAGAAATATCAATCGTAGTTTACAACGAGCGATGTAGGTATCACAGTGGTGGTGGTGATGGCAGTATCATGCTCTGGAGATCCTGTTCTTCAACAGAAGAACAGAAGATCGTCAGAACCGACGTAAACCTGGACGGAGCTGAAATACAGGGCAATCCCGGAGGAAAAGCTGCAAAACTCCTGAGACCCTAAACATGCAGTCAGAGCTGCAAAACGTGGTTGAGGTCAAAGCATTTTCAACTGTTTGAATGGCCTAGTCAAAATGTAGACCCTAGCTTTAGGTGTTTTGCAAAATAGTCAGTCAGTAAAACTTTCTCCAGACTCCAGCAACACTTGAGCAACACTGAGAAGAAATATTTATTAAAATAATGAATTTGTGTCCTTTAAACTTTTTATTTTACTTTATCCATTACATTGTATTTAATTTCTAACTTTGTCACCACAATTTAAGCAACAAATGCTTACGTCTCGGAACGGGTGCAAACAAATTTACCTCTGCTGCATCTTTAAGGGTTTTGAAAGTTAAGGGTTCAGTTCCAGTTTCCTCTCGTGTGGATGCCATCTTGGCTAAAGCACTTAAACATAAGTTGTTGCTGATCTGACCACTCTCAGTGGTCAGTGCGACTGGAAAAGTACTATCTTTATGACAGCATGAAAATGCAGCATATGCATTTTTTCTTCTGTATATTTGAAGGTATTTTGTTAGAAAGCCACTTGTCTCATTGGAAGATTCTCTTTGTTTCAAGTTAATTTGACTAAATTGTTGAACCGAGTATCAATTTAACATTCAGCATTTAACATTTGCTGTATGTTGTGTCGATTAAGGAAATTTATGTGGGTTTATGTGGATAAGGCCTGTGATGTGGACATCCTCATATACCAGATCCTGCTTTGCAAAATGAACGTTGTACCTAAAAACTCGAAGAATATGATGGGTTTAACCAGAAAACTGGAGCAAAATCATTGCTATTTTAAAGGTGAGAAATGAAATCTCCTGGTCGGGTCTGAGTCTCTGATCAGTGGCACACCTTCTCTCTCCTCAGGCTGGCCGAGCTTCTCCCCTTCGTGGATGTCAACCGACACTGGGGCATCATCAGCAAGTGCCTGACGTACAGCAAGGCTGCGTCTGACCCGTTTGCCTACTCGCTGCTGCGCCAGCAGTACAAAAAGGTCCTGGTTACGGTCGTCAACAAGCTGCTGCGCCGCGACCTTTACCCTTCGTCGGGCCACAACAGCTCTTTGGACACGGAGAACGACTACTGTCTTCAGCGGATCAGCTAATGGCAAAAATGTGACGTGACGGATTTGGACGTGACAGATGCTCTCCAGCAGAGCGAGAGAGCGAGCCCCAAAAAACAGGTTGGCTCGTGAGGAAGGAGGTGGGCGGGCGGAGGAGACGGAGACTACAGGGGATTGTCAGGGAGGGGAGATGGAGGGGACAGATTGTGGGCGGAGGGTGAAGAAGGAGCGAAAAATAAAAGGAAGGTAGTGGGTGGAGAGGAATGGAAAGGCAGGGATGAGTGGGAGGATGGACGGGTGGAGATATGATGTAGGGGAGACAGGCGAGTTTCGGTTGGATGGTTCTGGTAAACAGCAGGGTCTGTGATTCATCAGCCACAACAAACGACACAGAAACCAACCAATCCTCCCCCCCTCCCCCTGGATGTCACAGATTCAGGTTATTTCAAACTGAAAGACAAGACACTGGAGTCAGCGACGTGTAAGAAGAAGCTTTTCAGTGCTGAACCAACCAGCCATCTTATTGTTTTCATTACCCTGGACAAGTTCGCACTCCGCGGAAACCTCCAGAGAACCCACCGGGACACGCAACGACTCGTCTGCGCTAGAAAGCTTCGCGTCGTCTCTTAATATTGATGCACTTTGTCCGAGGACATTTCCTAAAACTTCTGCGCTTGCAGGAGACAAAAGCTGTTTGGCAGGATGAGCCTGGTGATAGTTTATATTTTTGTTACTGTCAACAAGTTCCACAAGAAGGCAGAAATATGAAAGGTGTTATTTTGTCTCACTCCTTACAGTTTCCACACAGCCTGTGTATTTTGGGCCGCATCAGAGTGGCTGAAGACCAACAGAGAGAACAAAAGGGGAGAAATGTTTAATGATAGGTTTGCACACTAATCTACCTCTGGATCCCTAAAAGCCCAATGGTTCATGTGTAAAAAAAAATTTTTCAGATTTTTATTATTTTTTTTACCTTCTCCACAGTTGATATCCAGATCTTTTAAGCAGTGGAAAATTTTACATTTAACCAGATGAATCAAATTAACAGCAGGTTTATAAGCACAAAGTAATCATTTTGATTTCTTTGGGTCTCAGTAATTATTCCCATCCATCATGAAACTGTACAGTTACTTGCAAAAATATATTCACTCTCTGCGAGTTTTTCCTCCATCGCCATGTTACAATGACAATGAAACAATTTAAGATGGAACAACTCAAAGCTGCGCAAATCTGTAAAATGGAAGTTTTATTTTCCTGAATCTGAAGTGTGTGGCTTGTTTTTGTTTTCAGTCCTCTGAGTCGATACAAACCCTCAGACAGCTGCAAGTCATTTTGCACATCTGGAAATTTTTGATAATTCTTAATAGCCCAAGCTCTGTCAGCTTGCGAACGTGTGGACATAATTGTCCAGTCTCACCGTAGATTCCTAATTGGATTTACATCTGGGCTTTGACTAGGCCATTCTAAAACATGCGCATGCTTTTATCAAAACCATTCCGCTGTAGCTCTGTCTGTGTGTTGTGATGCCGGAAGTTAAACTTTGACCCCAGTTTTAATTCCTCTGCAGCCAATGAGCGGTTTTCTTGCACAGAATAATGCTGCCGCCACCTCTGTGACGGTGTGTAATGTGAATTGTTAGTCTCCTCCATACCCAGCCGAAAAACAAATGTTGTCTTCATCCAATCAGAGCATCTTCTTCCACACGTTTGCTGTGTCTCATACTTCCCTTGTTACAAGCCGCTTTCGTTCAGCAATCGCTTCCATAAGAACCAGAGCTCTGACGTGTGTAACTACTGATTATCTTGTCAACAGGTTCTCCTGTCTGAGCTGGCTGCTCCTCTAATTAACTGTCAGGTTAGGTGGACAGCTTTGTCTGGGTTAGTTTGCAGCTGTGCCACTCTTTCCTTACTGTCACATGACGGACTGAACAGAACTCAGTGAGACGTTCAACCTAACCCTTCTTTTCCATTTCTCACACTGAGAATACGTTTCCTTCCACTTCACAATGATGCACAACTTTGTTTTTGGTATATTTTTACTTAAAAACTTTCATGGATGTTGAATCTTTGGGTCTGAATGAGACAAAATGTGAAAAAGTTTTGCAAGGCGCTGCAAATGACGAGGAGTTCTCCAGCAATGTGAAGTTTTTTTCGCGGCTTGTTTGAGTTTCCCGCCATTCCTCAAACCCCTCAAAATCTGTGTAATTAGACACACACACACACACAAAATTGATCAGATAATCTCAGAAGGTACGCTCACACACACACACACACACACACACACACACACGTTAGAGAGTTTTTGAAAAGCGTGCTGAAAAACGATGCGGTGGGAACGTCTCCCAAAATTAAAATAAGCCTCAGTTTGATTCTTTTCATGGACTTTGTTGACAGTGAGAAACTCCTGCACATCACCAGACTCGCCCTCCAAAGAGCCAGTTAGCAGCTGAATGTACTAGATAACCCTCTTCTAACCGAGACGTGTTTGTACTAGCAGCCTCTGTTTTTTTTTTTGTTGTTTTTTTCTTCTGCCAGTCGACCGGTTCCTGCGGACGTCGACGCGAGCCGAGTGTGCTGACTGACGTGTTTGGCGCCGCACTGTACAGGAGCAGCTTTTCGTCTAGACTGTCGAGGACAGACTCCATGTAGCACAGCCATGGTCTCTAAGTGCTTTAAATTACACTGTTCAGTGTTTGTGCCAAGTTTATATGAATATGTGACTTTTTTTTTTTTTCTCAACCACTGTTATACTTTTACGACAGCTGCTTCGATAGGAGAAAATACGTTTAATTAGACGCGTTTTGCCCACACGAGTCTTTTCCCTCCTGTGAGCCACTTGCTGTTCTCTGACAGAGTGATTTTTAGACTATGTGCAATAAAAGATGTTGATTGTAAAGCTGTCATCGATGGGGTCGAATGTTTGAATCAGTGAGTGTCGCACTCACCTGAAAAGCCTTAAAATATATATCTAGATCTATTTAGAATATAAATAGTCTAATCATTGCAATGGGGACTTGGTGACCCCAACATTTCCCTCCGTTTTTACCCCTCTAACCATCCTGATGTTTGGTTCTCAGACAAACTTGTTTTCCACAGTTTCAGGTGTTTCCTCTGATCACCAAACTGCAGCAGTTTTAGGTAAGTAGTTGTGTTTTTTTTTTTTTTGAAGGATTATGAGGACCAACACATATTTATCTAAATATACTGGATTGTTGTCTTTACCATTTTGAAGAGTGGAAAACAGACACTGGTCTCTTTTTAGAGCTTCGTTTATGCAAAGAGAAAACAGGAAGCCGTGGATTGCTAATTACAAGTTCCAACACAATTTTGTTGAAGTTCAGACAGTAAAGCATAAATGAAATAAAATCCTTTAGTTGCATCTATTAATTGTTGTAGGGGTTTCACTGTTTTTGATATTAATGTTTTTTTTTTGTTTGTTTTTTTTAGTAACAGTAATATTTCAAATGGCCTAAAATTGAAGGCTGGATAAAAAAAAAAAAAAAGCTGTGCTACTAAAACATGAATAAACTTTTTTTTTTGAATGCGTCTTTACTGGGCAACTAAAGTAAGTTTGGAAGCTATATTTTATTTTAAGATTTAATTTAGAAATTTCTACATTTAGGCATTTGAAATGGAAGTGAGATTACAGGGCTAGTTCCCCACAATGCATTATCCCATGTCTGAAATCGAATTTTTCCCAAAAGGAAAAAGATTGAAGTAGAGAAGTACGACTCGTAAGTCTCTCTGGAATATGTTGCAGAGTCACTCATGTCTTCCCGCTGGTTCCATTTAGTCCTCTTTGTAATGCCGAAGACACAAAAACAGCTGCAAAAGAGAAACCTCCACTCCAATATTATGCATATTCCCAAGACTAATTAAAAAGTTTGGTCAATGTTCTTCTCCTCAGTTAGTTCATGCTAACTCACTAATGGATCTGGCTTAATCACATGCCAACCAGACTGGCTTTAATTATTCTCAGCGTTGAGTGAAGGAGGATCAGTACTCAAACACTCAAAGCCTCTGAATTCATGTGTTTCGTGCTGAAAAGCGACTCGGTTAAAACGGAGCCAGAGCTCGGCTATTTTAACACATCATAATTAACCCCAATCATCGGAGGCTGATAAAGGAGAAGCTGGTAATTAAAACAGAAGATGCATGCGTGGCGACATACGTGCTGTAACCACTCATCGTTTAGAGCGACGGAGGGGACAAACGATTGGAGCATGAGTTATAACCGAATAAAGAAGTTTCTCCTCGCTTACTGGTCAACAATAACAAACCTCTGCAGAATAAAGCTGTCAAGATTTTCAGCTCTCATCCTCACGCACCTCATTTTTCCACTCTGTCCTAATCTGAAAAAGCTCGTGTGAAAGTAAGACATAAAGAGATGTTTACATCTAGTTGGGATCTAGCTAGATCTCATCTAACTGAGATCTAGTTCGGTCTCAGTCAGATGAGACCGAACCTGAGCTTTACCACCTCCAGACAAACTCTGTATGAGGAGGGAAACTAGCCGTGAACTCACCGTCCTCACAGTGAAACGTGGTGGTGGAGGCGGCTTGATGCTGTGAGAACGGCTTTCTCCAATATCAGGTCAGGGTTAGTTGGACGATGGCTGGAGCTAAAACACAAGACGATTCTGGAGTCTGCAACAGATTTGAAGCAGAAGTGGAAGCTTTTTTTTTTTTTTTTTTTTAAGAATAAACATAGAGCGCTCAATGGAAGGTTTTAGATTAAAAGCATATTTATGTTAAAATGGCCCAGTCAAAGTCTGAGTTTAAATTCAGTTGAGGCTAGAAATTGTTGTCCCACAGACACTTTCCATCCTCTTGAGCTGTTTTACACAGAACAGTGAAAGATAAAAATCAGACAGTAGTAGTGCAAAGTCGGTAGAGATGTACCTGAAACGTCCTGCAGCTTTAACCGCAGCTGAGCGTGGAGTTCTTCAAAGTACCAGAGCGGCTGTGTTCAAAATGGGAGCTGAACTTTTCCGACTTTTAGCCGTGCAACAAAGGGTGTGAATACTTTTTTTTCTTTCACGAGTGACTCAGTCTTTTCCCACAGATCCACACCTCGTTTCCCTCAGCAGTACCACACACACACACACACACACACACACACACACACGCACACACACACACACACACACACACACACACAATTACAAGCTCTCAAGGAATGATCTCCACTGTTAGGTTTCGCTTCCCTTCAGTTTCTGGGTTAGGCTGTAATTTGCATAATGCATCAACATGCTAAGGATCTAATCAATATTCCTGATGTAGATGAAGGATGCAGCAGTTTTTTTTTTTTTTTTTTACCCCTCGCTCTAACTCTGTACCAACCTCCTTCTCGCCTGCCTGCCCTCCTGCCTCGAACCCTTTTGAATATTCACTCTGCCATTATGCTAATCAGGTCTGCTCAGCTTGAAGATGAGACCTTATAATTAGTTGAAAAGGTATAACACGTTCACTCAAAAAAAAAAGAAAAAAAAAAAAAAGAAGCTATTACAGCGTGCCATCATGTCTGGGATTTTCCAGAGATCATTGCGAGGCAAAGCAAAGCAAAGCTACTCCGCTGATGCACACATGAACTGAAGTAGTTGGTAATCAGGTCTGCTGATAATAACCGTGTCTCACTCTAGAAAAAAATATAATTACTCTTATGCAAAGTCTAGCAGCATCTCACTGCTAAGCGGCTCTGTTTGCTTGACATCCTGGTGCTTTTGTTTCTGCCTGAACAGCAGCAAATCGTCAAGCACTTCTGCTCTGATTTGGATGTAAAACAACAGTCCACGTGATATGGGAATAATCTGAGAAAATCACACCTAGAAGCCAAGAGGTGTATTCCTCTTCTAGATATTGACTTGTTGGAAAATATGGTGCTGTCCAAACAAACTGAATTATGCCTTGTGTTTCCTGAAAGCCTGATATAACCTCTCTAGGTAATTGTAATCGGTATATATTCAGGCTTTCTGAGTGTTAACTAATGCGTTGACGTTTTGATGATTTATCACAGAATTTTAGTCCGAAACTTGAGGATTTCCACAGAAGAAAAGACATGCAACTCTAACATTTTAATCTTTTAAGTCATACAAAATCCCCAATAAAATAGCATTTCAGCACCAATAAGATGTTAAACATAGCTGAACCTTGTGAGGAGTCAAAATGACTCCAAGAGTCTGTCAAAAACTCATCCAGGAAGTCACAAAAGGAACCAAAACAACTGAAGTCCTGCAGACCTCAAAAACAGTCAGGGTTCAAGATTCAGCATTGAGAAAGTTTCAAGTCCCAAATCATTGCTTATGACCTTAAAAGTCCTGACTCATATTTACAAAAAAAAAAAAAAAAAAAAAACCCTGATGATCCCCAAGACATTTTAGAAAATAAATATTCTGTTAACTGATGAGAAAACAGAGAAACTTGTGTCCCGCTAACATCTCACATTTAAAAAAAACTGTCTGGCCATCAGTTTCTGACTTTGAGTTGAGCAGCAAGAAAATAATCCAAAGCACACCTGAAAATCAAAGTGTAAAAAAAAAAAAAAAAACTTTTTGTGTGGCCTAGTCAAAGGCCGGACATCAATCTTATCTGACTGAGACAGTGTGGAATTACTTCATGCCAGAAAACCTGAAAGTTTGACCAAATTTCTCCACAGTGATGTCACATCCCCAGTAGGTCATTTTGTTTTCATTCTGCTTTACATTCTTTTTCGATAACTTTAAAATATGACTTGAAGCAAATATTGATTCAACCACTTCACTCACAGGGATTAAACATACAAAAACGGGTTGTGCAGTTAAAACCTTTCTCTGACATTTTGACTGGGCTTGAACAGTAGAAAGCATAATAACGGTGCTTTCCCTTTAAATTGCAACATGACAGAAAGCCATTGTGCATAACACATAAAAACGAAATTTATGACAATTTGAGTTGCCACACATTTTCACTTCGGCTCAGTCATATTTCCTCTCGCAGCTCCACTGCTTAGCCTCTGTCGTGGAAGTTCATCGGAATGTCTGGCATGTTTGGGAAGCTCACGCAGTCCGAGTGAAAAACACACCCTCTGGCTGCGTGTGTAAGCGAGGTGCCACAGAACGGAGCGGGGTTATAACAGCGTAGAGGGGGGACAAAATGCTGCTGGTTCTGCTGCAGATGTTGGTGCCTTTATGCGGAGCTCTGCCGCGATGCGACCCGTGGATAAGAGGTAAACTTTCTCATCCTCTCATTCCCAGGACAGTCTCTGTCGCATTTGGACACAATGCTCGTTTGGAGACTTTTCCATTTTAAAATCAATTTGATTTGAATCCATTTTAACATATAAGTGAGTTTTTCCAGACAGGGTGTGGGGGTTTTTTTTTTTTTTGTCTATTAGAGAGCTGTTTATTGCATTCACAGAAACCACTCTGCCACCTAGCGGTCACTGATCAAATTGACGTGTTTTGCAGGGCAGTGCAAGGCAGCAGCAGCGGAAGAAAAGCGTAAGTACCCTCCAGCTTGAAGGAAGAAAGTCGTCGTGCACGGACTGTTCGTCATCATCTTCTCCTCGTTTTATCGCTGCCCAGAAAGTCGCAGGGATGTTTGAATTTTTAATGACAGCGTGTCGCGCTTCTGACCTCTAAACCAAATGTACAAAGACACAGGAAAGTTAAAAAAAAATAAATAAATCAATCCACCTCTGATGAACAAAAGCAGTTCTACGGGCTTCTTTAAATCACTTGATTTCCGTCACAAACAGGATCATAAATCCCATAACGCCACGGAGTGCAAACGGAATCTGGTCCGGTTGAGTATTTTTAGATGATCGATGGAGGCATGAAATATTCAGATTCTAATTTCCACAGATAATGGAAATATTTAGGAGCAGATGATTGAGGATAGCACACCGTGACAAATAGAGACGCATAATGGACCTTTCAAATTAAAACCGACAGACACTAATCTTTATCTTGTCTCTCGGCAGAACTTGAACGCAACATAAAGCGTGTGATTTGTCCGACACCAATAATCGAGCTGCATGCAAGTATTTTGCGAAGTTTACATATAAATTCTCCTGTTAAAGTTGTACTGCATTACGGCTCACTTTGTTTGCACAATGCATGTTGAATTATGCATTAATGATTGTTGCTACAGCCACATATAACACATTAACTCTGGCTACAAGATAGAGTAGTAATGGAAAGTTTAGTGGAAGGAAAATATGTGGTAATCCATTGAAAAGTAGGAAGATGTGGAAAAATGGGGACGTTCAAATAAAGACGATTTATCTATAACTCATCTTGTGATGTATAGATAAATATCCCTAATCTGATTTTTTTTTTTTTTTTGCTTCCTTTCTATCACAGCCAAATGCACAGACATCCTGCTGTCCTACTGCGACGACATGCCCTACACCCGCACCATGTTCCCGAACATCGTCGGCCACAGCACCCGCAGGGACGCGGAAACCGCTGTGGAGTACCTCCTCATCAGCGTGGTCGAGCAGCTGCTGGGCGGACAGTGCAACCCCGAGATCCGGATGCTGGGCTGCTCGGTCCTGGCCCCCCGCTGCGAGGGGAGCAAGGTGCTGAGGCCCTGCCGCAGCGCCTGCGAGGCAGCACACAAGAGATGCAGTCATGCTTTTGAGGGGATCCAGATGGCCTGGCCGTACTTCCTGGACTGCGATCGCTTCTTTGTGAGCGACCAGGAGGGATGTTACGACCCGCTGGAGGGTCTCAAAGGTAATAAGAAGATTTAGTATATTTCGAGTACGGCCAGAAACAAGTTTTAAATGGTTTTTAAAAAAAAAAAAAAATATTGTGGCTTTTCCGCCTGACAAAGATTGAAAAGAAAATCTTAAACTGCAGCCTCGTTCGTTTATTTACTTGTGTTCGGCTCATGCCAGATGAATTGCAGGGACCATAAATAGAAAAACAAGAGTATGTCTGACTTTTATTATTAGGAAATAATGAAAAAGTTATGAATAGCTATGATATAAAGGAAGGTATGGATCAGTGAGATCACTCCTGTGTGATGTTTTCAGCATTTTCAGGAGACAGAACAGCTTTTGGGTTGCAACACTGTGAGCAGAGTCGGTGTCAGTGGACTTTTTTTTTTTTTTGAGTTTATCTGTCTAATTTAAACAACTTCCTCCAATTTAAACAACTTCCTCCAATTATGGTTAGAATTAGGAAACACGTGTGGTCAGTTTCTAAACAAAACATGCAGCAACATGCTGCCTGACTTTTTTTTTTTTAAAGTTTTCATTAGTGTGGCCTGCTTGCTTTGCCTGCCACATTTATAATCACCCTTTGTAGGAATCCATGAAAAGTCAGAAAACTTTTATTAAACCTTGTTTGCAGTAGTGCAATGTCATAATGAAAGATGAAGATGTGAAAACATTTATTAACCTTTACTAACAATCTTTAATTTGGGTACACTTTAAAGAAAATGTGACAAGTATGGCAGGACGATAACCCATATTAATCTGATAATCTGAGACTATGCTACTGCAGTGAGATTTTTTTATGGGATTAAACGGTTCCCTTGGTATTCTGTTCAGCTGTAGTAATTCAAATATATATAAAATTTTGTTTTGACATGCTGCTGTTTGAGAGCATTTTTTATGTATTTCTCATAGATTTTGTATTTTTCTCCACACAGTCTTGTTATCTGTCTGAATCTCTTGTTTTTTGATCCCACCCACAGCCCCAGAATTGAAACAGCCTTCAGACCTTCACTTCACAATTCCGTGCCGTTTTGTTTTTGTTTCCCACATTCAATGCCAATTAAATGCATTGAAGTCTTCGGTTGGAGCTAAAACGTGCCTAAGAATGCAATTGATTTCCTGTTGATTTATCTCATTTTTATTGCTATTGTTTGGCAGTATCGTTAATATGAATTATCACTCTCTCTTTTTAACTCCTCTGGTGACAATATCCACTTTTCAAAATCTTTTTACAAATAATTATTTTCATCATGTCAAAATAGAGTCATAAAATCAGCTCGGGCTTCATATGATTGGTGGGAATAGACCTTTGCTGAGCGTTTAAAAGGGAAAAAGGCGACTTATAGTGTTTTTCTGCTTCCTTTGGGAACAACGCATCTCATTCTACTTCACGATCCAGGTCTATAACCATAAAGTGACTGGAGGTTTGAATCATTTCCTGATGCCTGTGAACGCACTCCGAGAGTTCACACAGTCATCTGCTTCGCACATAACTCTGAAATGTGGCAGCCAAAAAACTCTTTGTTATCTTTAGCAAAGAGTTTTTAAAATCAGAAATCTATGGCTTGGATTAAAACAAATCCTGAGAAAATGGAATTGAGTGACTCCACGTTAAACTGAGCTACGAATAAAACATGAAAACGACAAGACGATCTCTCCCAGTAGGTTTCAGGGAGGACAGAAGGCGATCCAGCTGGACGGTGTTTTGAGCTGAGTTGATGTGTGTGTTAGCCAGATGTCTTCACTAAACAACTTCATATAAACTGATGCTCTTCTGTGACTCTGTGAGCTGCGGCGCTGCATCTCTTTCAGCTCAAAACAAAGGCGGGAAAGTTAACTCTGTGTGCAGAGTCACCAGCTATTAACAGATCATAAAGTTAAATGTGTCGAACCTGACCAAAAAAACAAAACAAAACAAAAGTTAAAAACTAAAATTAGTATTGTTGGGGTTTTTTTTTTTACTGCTTTTTGAAACACGGCAGAGAAACCCCGTCACTTGGAGCTCAATTAGGTCTATTGTGGTTTAAAAGGCGGACATGTTTCATCTTTTTTGAACACAATAAACCAGAAGACTAAACCAAGCGAATGCTGGCAGACACTGAACTAACCATAGAGCAGTTTTCTGAAACTGCTTACCTTTGGTAAGCTAACTGTAGCGTCGCACTTTGAGCTCGCCTCATGACAAATGAACGGTCGTTTACATGCAGTACCTCGTGAACCACTAGGGGGCGCCCGCGGACCACCAGCGGTGGTCCACCACAGTTTGAGAAAGGCAGCTTGGTTAGTTCAACGGCTTCAACTAACGGCTAGCAAACTAGCCCTAGTGGTTAGTTGGCGTCTACTAACCACTAAGGCTAGTTGAAGCTAACTAATATTTGATATAATAATCAAAAAATGCTTTAAGCATTAGACAAGACAGGTTGGACAGATGATGTCTCTTTTAGCAAACCGCCATTTCTGTGACATTTCTTCACAGCAGAGCAAGAAGATGAGGCTGCTCAGAACCTGGAGGCTCCTCAACCCCAGCAGGCTGCTGCACCGATCCAGTTCACCTACCACTCCAGCTCCCAGATGATCGACATCCTGAAGAAGACCGAGGATCAATGCTCGGACATCTCCAGGACGTACAGCATCGGCCGCAGCACGGAGGGCCGGGAGCTGCTGGTGATCGAGTTCTCAAGCAGTCCTGGAGAACATCAGCTGCGTGAGTGCAGCTCCGATTCACGCAGCACTTCTTTGTGTCATATTAATGCTTAATATTAAACGTTGCCCTTACCTAGTCGAGCCTGAGATGAAACTCGTTGGCAACATGCATGGGAACGAACCCCTGGGTGGCCAGCTGCTGATCTACCTGGCTCAGTACCTGTGTGCAGAGTATCTGCAGGGAAACGAGCGCATCCAGACGCTCATCAACAACACCCGCATCCACATCCTGCCCTCCATGAACCCTGACGGATACGAGGTGGCCGTGTCTGGGGACGCTGACAGTAACTACAGCGATGACGAGGTGACGCTTAACAGCATTTCATCCTTGGAAAAAAAGGGGGATACCCTGCACCGGCTTTATTCACCAAACTGCTGTCACACGTTTCCCGAGAAGCTTAAAGAGACTTTTACTTAGTTTCACAATGTGATTGCTGTGAAAATTAACAGATGTTAATGCTTTTAAGTAACATCTGGCTATAGTTGAAGTTGCAGCTTCAGTTCTTCACTTATCTTCCACAGGTGAATGTTGAATCTGCGTCCAGTAAATATGTTTAAGACTCGCTACAGTTAAGCTTTGGATTTGACTTTGTCAAACAGCAAGGCTGCAGGGAAAGAGTTACAAATCAGTTTTATTTCTGAAAATTGTTGACTTTTTCACATCATTTATGTTTTTCAGCTTTCTTCCTTGTCCAAGTTGCTTCCCTGAATGCTGAATACAATTAATGCACTCCTTTTGACTACAGTGATTTTACTTGTGTTTTAGACAGTTACCGCTGTGACATAATCTGAAATCATTGCTTTCTTTGGCTGCGTTTTTTCTAATTCTCGAGATGCCATTGTAATGGCTGTCTAAATCCTGACTTTGCCGACATTAACTAGCCCGTTAGTCCTGCTCTAGAGCTGTTGGTCATCCATTCAGTTCACAGGTTGTTATTATTATTAACAGCAGCATTCTAACATTGAGGAGACGTGGCAGGCAGACTAATTTACATAAAGAGCAACCAACTCTCCGACATTGTTTAAACTCAGGTGACAAACAGTCCAGGGAAGATAAAGAGTAAAGGGTTATTTAATTTCAAAAGTTAAATTGATCCATTCTGTTTGTTTTCTAGAATTATATATATATATATATATATATATATATATATATATATATATATATATATATATATATATATACATATAAAACACTTATTCTTTTAATCTACAGGGTAACAGATATGGCTACCGGAACGTCGGCCGAAACAACGCCCAGAACATCGACCTGAACAGGAACTTTCCTGACCTGACGACTGTCGTTTACAGAAGACGCAGACAGAAGGGCTTCCGCACCGACCACATCCCCATCCCAGACAATTACTGGTTTGGTAAGGTACATAATGACTCTTCGTTGTCTAGAAGACAGAACTGCTACAAAGTCTTTTTGTTGCTTTGGAGAAGATGAACTAAGCTGACATCTGAAAGAGAGTCTCTAAATGCCGGGCGTCAGGTTGCACCGGAGACGTATGCGGTCATGAAGTGGATCCGCTCCATCCCGTTTGTGCTCTCCGCCAGCTTCCACAGCGGCGACCGGATGGTCTCCTACCCCTACGATCTGTCCAAACACCCGCGTGGGCAGAACATGTTCTCCCCCACACCTGACGATAAGGTAGGCGGGTTCCGTGAATCACATATTTTAAATGCTTCACAAATGTTTTCATGTCAGACGAAGATAACCTAGAAATACAAAAAAGTTGTTTTGAAAGGATGATTTCATTTACTAAAGTAAAAAAGCTATCCAGACTCATCTGGACCTGTGTGTAGACTGCAGTGACCCATATCTTGTTCTTGCTATTGATAACAGTTTAAAATATTTGACCCCAAAATAATAAAATTAAAATAATTAAAAAAAAAACAGAAGAAATTCTTGCATGCCTTTCTTGTCTTGATGCAAATGAGACCTCTTTATATGTAGATAAGACATCTAATGTCATTTACAGAATTGTTTTCTACTATCAGACTATTTTTGTTTCCTTTGTTAAAATATTCCATGTCTGGTTTATTGCTGTAGATAAATAAAATCAGAATGGATTTAGTTTTATTTATTTTAAAACCCAATATTTGTGGCAAAGAAATACTTTCAAATTTACACTTTCGCTCTGCATGGCAACTACTTTGGTTCTCTCTCAAGGTTTTCCTGGTAGAGAGCTAAATTTATAGTCCAGGGAGAAATGGGTAGCATAGTTTACTCAGCTACGTTCGCTTGAGGTCAATTTTGCATCATTTGTGTCTGATTTAAAGGTTTTCAAACTTCTTGCGAGAACTTATGCAGATTCAAACACAGCAACATCCGGAGAATGTGGATCTCCCCACGATGGCAGCCAGAAAGGAGTCATGAACGGAGCGCAGTGGGGCAGCATTTCAGGCGGTGAGTTTAAAAAAAAAAAAGCATTCCTAAACCAATCTGGTAATATAAAACTGTAATTCTCCCTGGAGCCCTGTAGAGGTCACTATAAGACCAGCCATGATGCAGCGCTTTGTGGGGCAAGAAAGGAGGATTCCTGCAAGGTGATTTGATATTATAAGAAATAAGATTAAAGCTGTTTGCTTTGCCTATGACCAGGTATGCAAGACTTCAACTACCTTCACTCCAACTGTTTCGAGGTGACCGTGTCTCTTGGATGTGATAAATTCCCTCCTGAAGAAGAACTGTTCCTCAGCTGGCAGAACAACCAAGAAGCTTTGATTGCCTTCATTGAGGCAGTGAGATTTTTCTTTTATAGCTTTGGGTAAACCTGCCGAACCTGAGCTGACCGCAGATACATTTGTAGATGCAATCCTTTCATTAGAAACGGACAAAGACGAAACTAAAGGAGTAAAACGTTGTTGTTGTTGTTGTTGTCACTGACCAGACTCACAGAGGGATCAAAGGGTTTGTAAATGATGAAGAGGGAAAAGGAATAAAAGGTGCGCGAGTATCAGTCAGAGGAATACGGCACGACATCACCACAGGTAAATATACCTGGAGGATATGCAATGTGTCAATGATAAAACACAATATTCATATAAGAACCTTCACAGAATGTGTGACCATTAACTTGGACAATTTTATTGGGATTTTATGTGTTAAATCAACACCAGTTGGTATTTCATAATACATGGTTGGTTTAGCATCCCATCCCTACCGCATGATGCTGCCACCGCCGTGTTTTGTGCTACTTTTCTGTCACACTTTACCTCAGATGCTGCAAAGGTTTTGATCTCACCTGACCTCTGTCACCATTTTGTGACCTCTGAAACTGGCTGACCACGCTGATTTCATTTAGGAGCATCGTTGTAAAGAAGGCTGAATGCAAAAGTCCATGTATTCCTTTCTTTCCACTTTACAATTACGCACAACTTTGTGTTGGTCTAAACCAGAAGATCAAAATGGAACATGTTGATGTTTGTGGGAGTGATGTGACAAAATGTGAGAAAGTTCAATGCGAAAGTGTTGCTGTAAATATTATTTATTCATTTGTTTTCAAGGAACTCAGAATTACTTTTAGCTCATTTACTTATTTTTATTCTCCACCTTACTTTTAGTTCAGCTTACTTCATATTTTAACACGTGACATTGATGTTTTTAATCATTTTAAAGTAATCCTTCAGTATTAAATTGCACAATACCGCTCCTCTGACTCTGTAGAGATATTTTGCACTGAAACTTTATTGTAGTCCCTGCATAGTAAGTCTTTATAAGCTCAGCTTCAAAATAATCACACCGAGCGTTTTTGTTCCTGCCCAGCTGAAAATGGAGACTACTGGCGGCTTCTCACCCCGGGCATCCACATCGTCACCGCCTCGGCGCCCGGCTACGCCCGCGCTACAAAGAAAGTCCATTTGCCGACTCGCATGCAGTCTGCAGGCCGGGTGGACTTTGTGCTGCAGAAAGCTCCTCTAGACCCCGACATTGAGGAGGAGGAAAGCGTCTTGTCCTCGAGCAGCTACGACCGATTCGACCCGTACAACCAGTACAACCAGTACACCACGATGGCCGATGTGAACCGGCAACATGAGGAGAGAGCGGAGAAACCCTGGTGGTGGAGCTACTTTGCCTCACTTGGGGGGCCTGTCCCCACCTGGCTGCTGAAACGCCATTAGAGCTTTAAAAAGAGAAAAAAACAAAGCAGTGAACTTGCCTTTAAAAAAAAAAAAAAAAAAAAAATGGTGTAATGCATGCAAATGTACAAGATTAGGCCATGGATTTTTTTTAGCTGAATGTTTTTCTAAGCACCTTTACAAGCTTTTGTCGTATAAATAAAATGGCTTTTGGTAATTTGCATAATTTAAAACTTGATTTAATCACAAATATTTGCGGTTTTGTTTTGGTTCACTACACGACAGACTTTTAAGTCCACCATAGTTTGTGGTTGTAACGTGGCTTTTAGCATAAAAAAAGTGAAAGCAGCTGCCACCAGAGGGCACCAGAGTCTTCTTTAGGCCAAACTTGCTCCAAACTCTTGCTTTGGTCAACACAAAACAAATGTACTAATTTGCAACTTCTCTCCCGTTTTGTTAGGAGATCGCGAATTTGCTGTAAGGTAATGAAATAATTCTAATATACTATTACTAATACTTCTAGTATAACAAGTACCATCAACTAATGATTACAATAAAATCTTATATGCAGCACTCTCCATGACTAATTCGTTATGAACTGAAAGTCATGTGTGTCATTTAGATTTTAGGTTCTTTTCGTGTTTGTATGAAACAAAGTAAGGTTTCTGAGAATAGAAATGAATGAACTCTTGGTTCAAAATCCTGACAGTAACATCTTGTTTTTGACATGAAACGCAACACCTGACATAAACTCACACAAGATAAAGTCTGGTGAATATTATTTGATCTTTGAAAAATAGACTAACAAGACACATAACTAGTCAGTGAACACACAAATGTGATCAGCCCACTAGCAGACAGAAGACCCCCCCACTTACAAGAAATTAAGTCATTAGTGCTGACGCTGTATCGCATAACGCCAACAATCTTTCTTTGCATATGACTGCAGCTTTATGCAAACTTACATTTCAATTAGTGGAACTACGGTAAAGACTTCCCAGTGCCTGTAAACCAGTGTCACCTCTGCTGCATTTAGTGGTATCCCTCATCTTACACAGAAATATAACTGTGTTTTCTGAAAACAGGAAACAGTTTTAAGCCATTTTTCCTTTAGACAGTACAGTCAATGTAAAAAATAGTATTGAATATTATTAAAAAAAATATCAGTTAACATATTCTAACGTACATACCCTTCAACAAATATAAATATTATTGAAAAGCAATTTTTTTTCAGTAACTCAATTCATTTTGTGAAAGACTTTATATAGATTAATAAGCCTTTATTTTTGTTAATTTTAATATATAGCTTTCAGCAAATGTAGCTTCATACAGTGGTGCTGGATAATATTCAATATCTCACTCAGCATTTTCCACAGGCAAATATGACTCTTGGTCACTCTGTCTAAAACAACCCAAGTTAATCCCCACACGAGTTCATTGAGAACATTCAAATTGACATGACGCCAACTGACTCCGCCCACATGCGGAAGTAGAGCAAACTTCCGACAAACAGTGTTATGATGGCAAAGGAACTCAATGCGTTGTACGTGTACATAGACTTGTGTGTGTGTGTATATATATAGATTTATAGATACACTCACACCACTGATCCACTGATGTATGTATTGATGAATTCCCTCTATCGTTGACGTCCACACTCCAGTCCGGTAGGTGGCGGTATGTACACCCTAAGTTGTTTTGCCATCCGCCAATAAAACAAACACACAGAAAAAGAAGAACTTAATGAGTTTCCTTGAGTTTATGAGTAATTTTTGCCTTATCAGCCAACACTAAGGTAAAGACGACAGGCAAGAAAATTCTCCAACTTGTCCTACATCAGGTCTGTAAGGTTGTTTGCGGGAAACAACGAAGAAATCAATGTTAAAGCCCAAGTTTTTCGTAGCCAGAGGAAGAATGATGAGGGGGATGGTCTCAATGGATGTGAACGCTGCGTCTGAAGCAATTTAACAGGTGAGTAATGTTAAATACCAGCTTCTGAAAATCTGTCTTAAGAAATTGCTTAAAAATTGACATTAACATAAAAACGTGCTTAAATGACAGTACAGCAGTTACTGCATCACGTTTTCATGCTGCCATAGAGCTACCATTGGAACTTACACACATAAAAATCAAGCATAACTACTACCTTTACTTATTGATTGATTTGTCTATCAATATGCGTCATTATGACAAAAATACATAGAACAAAGGGATGTTTACCAGTCACCTTCTTGCAGACGAACACGTGGCAGTTGGTCTACCACAGTTATATTCAACTGGACATGAGTTCGGCTACATGCCTTCATCCATTTCTTGCATTAGTCCAGACTCTGTTTGGATGTTGGACATGTAATAAATTGTATTTCGTCTTCTACATAATCTTGGTAACGACTCTTGTATGTTCCCCGCTGATAACATTAGTTCATGATTTCCTATTATTTCCCTCTATCACTGCAGCTCGTGATGATGAACCGCGTCAGGTCCGGTTCCTCATCAGGGGCGTGTACTTCGGGACAATTTGCGACCGGCGATTGGTCAAGTTTCTGACAATCTCCCCCCCTAGAATGATTGACAGGTGACATCATGTCAATTCCTGGACGTGGTCTCTGTGAGGGCAAAGATCGATGACTTAGTTTCTCATAGTGGATATGTTAGGTATGATATCAGAACCACAATTAATCACTTTTTAAAATTCTCCCGTTAGCTCCAAGCCTTATTATTCTAGTAGAGAGATGCTGTTCCATTGCATGGCCTCCAAGAAAAGCATGAGCCAATTTGACCTTACCTATTCGGCACCACGTCAAGGAAAGAGTGATTGTTTTAAGCAAATAACTTGTCTGCCAGTTGTGCCCAAAAAGGTTTTCTCTCAATTTTATGCATTTGCCGTCAATGGAGAGTTGGCGCCCCCTGCCTGCAGCTTAGAGAACAGAGTATTTGACCTGGTTTGTGTTGGACTTGCATGGCAGTTTATACACTGATTGAGAGGTGGCCACTGAAGAAAGTAATTAAAAATCACCAATAATTTTGAGATCTACTAATGAAATCCTATTTCGCAAACTCATCGCTTACCATTTAACCTTCTCAGTTTTCAAATTCAAAAAATACAAACATGATACCTAAGCAGCCCAGTAAACAAAATAAAAAAGGTAAAAAAAAATCAAGCAAGTAAAAGGTAGAAAACATTACAGTGACAAAAGTTAAAAATAGGAAGTTTTGTACCAGTTATATCCAAAATAACATATTAGAAAGATTTAATAAAAACCATGAGGAAATAGTCAGATTTTCTCACTTCTTATGTCCTTCAGCAAACTTCTTTTAGTCATTTTTAAAAAATATTTTTACTAACCTTGTAAAGCAGTCTCATTTGGCTCTTTAAAATCCCCCATAGCTGCAAAGAGCTTTTTTAAATTTCTAAAACAGCTCAATGTCAAGTTCATTTCAGTTTGCTCGTTAGGCAGAAGCGGTTTCATAACGGTACGTGAGAGCACAGCTCCTCCAGAGGGTGATAATAAGCCACTTTCTTTGTTACGGAGCCTGAACAAACTTGCCGGGGAGCTCATGAGGCAACGATAATCGGAGCAGTCGAGCGCAAGTGTGTACAGAATCCCACCAAGCATTTTCATAGAGAACCCGTTCAGCTGAGACGGGAGCGAACCCTCTGGGGTTAAGGTGATTCCACCGTAATAATGCTGGGACATATAACCACAATATGAGATAAATACAGTACATCAGATATTTATCTGTGGAAGTCCATTGCTTCAAAAGGTAACAGGATGACCACAGGTTTACCAGCTAATGGATTTTTGACCTGTGAAGCTGTCTGGTGTTTGATTTTTATCTTTATCTTGTTTGGGGTTTCTGTGGATGACAGTCAAAGGTTTTTTTTTTTAATCTGACCTCAGATGAGGAATCCTGTCTCTGTTTTCTTCTTGTTTTATCTCTTATGATGAATTTCTGCTATGGTCTACTAGCCTTACAACAGCAAATTAAAGTGACAAGCTGAGGCAGGATGCCATAGGTTTCATCTGTCCCGACTAGGTTGAAAAACATTGGCTGGACAGAAATATAACTGAATGTATATTTTATAGCGAACCAGAAGAGTTTCAAACTATCCAACTACTGTTATCTGTTATGAGGAGCCTTCTTGCCATTGAGCTGTTTTTCAATCAAAAGAAAACACCTGGTAGTCTGGGTACAATGGGTTCAACTGGGGACCAAAAGCGCAACATTTGTTAGTTTCAGCTGGTGTCGCTCGCTTTCACAGTTTTCGAATAAGGTCCAAAGATTTTTTTTTTGTTGTTGTTGTTGTCCAAAGATATCAGTCAGGAGGCAGCAACGATTTAAAAGAATACTGAATAACGGTGGCATTGCAAGACTGAAACTGGTCAGCGAAGCTGTAAAGAGCTGCAAGCAAGAAATTTCCAATAAGTGCTGGTTATGATTTACAAGTGACAAAAATCTCATGTTTTCAGCTGGAAGGTAATAAGAGTTGAAAATAGAACTGTTTTCCTCTGAAGAAAACATCCAGGCCTGATAATGAAGCCGCACTAAAACCTGTGAGCCACAACTTCGAAAGGTTTTGGACAAGAACAGCATCTGGGACATCAGCCACAGACCTGAAGTAGGACCATCTTGGTCAGGGCGTATACAACAAAGAACTACATTCGAAACCAGGAGGAACATACTTTTGCTTTTGTAATTTTGTAAACCAATTAGTTTGTTTAATTCCAGCTTATTTAGAAAAGAAAAACCAATAGACGTTTCTTTCAAATTCCTTTCTGGCTGCAAAAAGTTATTGTCGGCTAGTGTCAACATACTTGGAGTCAGATCTCTCCTGAAAATAATCCTCCCCTTGTGAGCTGTTCTCAGCAACACACAGTCTAGACACAGCCAAATTCACAGGCAGAATAAAACATAAAGCACCACTGAAATAAGTGTTCTTGATCTTAATGCACATTATTGCCGTGTCCCAGGGATAAAACACTTTAGAAGTCAGTCATGAAGAAGAGAAAGCCTTAGGGCTCTTAAGGCTGGGTACATGTTCGTGATGCGCCCAGCTACTTTAGCTGTCATGCAGCAATATATCTCAGAGCCTTTGCTGGGTGCACTGATGCTTGGCTTAAGCCATTTAGCAGCGCCCTGGTTAACTGAAACCGACAAAACTTCTGATTCCAGCCCGATCTTAGAATAACACCCCTGGCGGTTGTGAAGCTGTCTTTGCCCATTTCATCTGGCAAGCTCCCACAAGTGCATTTGAAGCTGACACAAATACAGAAGAAGATACTTTATGACGTTACCACATTTACCCCAACAATTACAAAACTGGCAGTTGCATGAGAAAAAAACCATAAAAAAAAAAAAAAAAAGACAACCCCACAACAACTTTAGCCTTTCAGTTTGTAGAATAAAGGGCCAAATTAAACCACGGTTTAAATGTCCAAGTAAAATATGATGGCATTTGGTCATTAAAGGCCAAAGGGCGCGCCGTAGGGGCGAAAACCTTGGATGATTTCCCTTTATCTACTCTGGAAACACACAAAACAACAACACTGGGTGATGAGATGATTACAGCCGAGTAGCAGTGACACCATGGGGCATAATAAAAGTTAAATTTGCTTGTGCATTAAAGTGTGACATCAAAAGCTAATACCCCCATCACACTATTGTGTATCTGAGCTTTATTTCAGTGGTGTAAAAACACACGATGCCTTAGAAAAACAATGTCTTCCTACTAATTTAACTCTAAAATGTGATCACCTTGAACCCAGGACGCTTATCTGTTAACACGCCAAATAACTTTGAGGCTTCGATACAGCATGTATGCAAAGTACTGCAGTATTTACAAAAATGAAATTCAAATATCAGTGACTCAAAATAACATTGCTTGTTGTTGATGACGATGAGAAAAACAAATGTAATACTTACACATTCGTAAGTGTAAATGCTACACCCTATTACTTACCACAAACACAATTATATGCAAATACACCGCTTACTTGGTGACTATTTTCTAAAAAGAGGTATGAAGAAGTACTTGGCCCCACCATTTAGCTCGCAGATTCTGATTAATTTGACTACAATTATTTGACCAAGTAAAAAGGTAAAATAAATCAAGACGATGACGCCACAACAGAAATAACGTACCCAGGTTGAACGGAGCAGAACACTGTGAATCCCACACCTTAAATGTGATAAAATACGCTCTACAGAACCTGAGAGCACAGAAAGTGACACACACACACTTCAAAAGAAGAGACGTGACCTGACATTTTCTGAAATTTCTCACTTCCGTAGACTTGGACTCATGCTTTAACACATTCTTCTCAGTAAATCAGTATAAACGGGTGCTGTGGTGGCGCAGGGGTTTAAGCACAGCCCATGTATGGAGGCCTTAGTCCTCGACGTGGCTGTCGCAGGTTTGATTCCCGGCCTGGCGACCTTTACCGCATGTCTTTCCCCATCTCTTGTTACCAACTTTCCTGTCAATTATAGAGGCCACTAGAGCCAATAAAACCTTACAAAAAAAAAAAAATCGGTATAAACGGCAAACTAGATGGAAAACTATGACAGCTACTTAAGGTTTCCAGAATTGTAGCTCTAGAAAGGATGAGATTCCTTTAAAGAGATTTTGGTCCTATGGTGACTCCTGTTTAAAAGCACAAGACTCTGGAGAGAAAATATCAGCTGTCAGTATCTTACCAAGACTGGACTACTCTTAAGTTTGATAAATAAAATTTTAGATTTACTGGAAACTTGAACTAACAGCTAACCAGAAAACAAACCTGTCATCTCTCTGTTACTATGGTTACGTTGTGTCCACCATGTTCGGTTCTCTTATGCATCTCTCACATGCAACGTTACTGGTAATTGACAATGGGTCATTTTGCATAAATACCTATCAGCTTTAAACGTTAAGTCACAGTATTTTGATGTGTATGTGCCACTGATTATCAATTTTGTGTTCAAATATAAAGTTCAGTTCACATTTTACAGCACACACGTTTTAATATCATGCGCTCAGGTGACATTTTAAGGTAAAAGGAAGTCAATGAAACTCAGATTTTATGTTTGGTTTTTTTGCCTTGAAGTACATGGAAATTGTTAGCCACATTACCTGAATTACAGTCAACGTAAAAAAAAAAAAATTCTTGCTTTGGAAACACTTGTACTATCTATTTCTTCTTGCTCTCAGTAGATATCAAATAACCTTGCAACAAAGCTCCCGCGCAATCTGTAACACAAATGCAGCTCAGAAAGGTCAGTGTTTCCATCACAGCACGCTCATGCTAACAAGTTAATTACACGTAGTCCTGCGCACATGAACTTTAAGCCTGTATTTATAGTCAAAGGAGCTCTGCGGTTAGGTGCACTGAGCTAATTATGTGATGAAAAATCTCCCGTGGCACGAGGGTAATTTTTCAGTGCTCTTTAAAGATAGTAGAGGATATGGCAGATAACTGCTTGAAGCCCTTGCAAGTCAGCAGCGGCCGAGCTAAATGTGGCAGCAAGTGTCAGGCCAAATCAATACACGCTTCCCAGGATTCCTTTGGTGCTATAATCCAGGCTGCAGTGGGCACTGACCCCGGGGAAGCCTGGGCTCTTGTTTTCTTGCCCTGGTTTCTTCAAAAGGAGCTGCACTTATGGATATGGCAGTACGGAGCATAAGCTAATTACTTAAAAAAATGGACAGGATTTGAGAGCTATAAACTGCTTAACTCGTAGATAGAAACCTCAGCGTCCGACAGCGGCTCTGTGCAACTTTGAATCTCTCCAAAAGGTGTTCACATAAATTGGTCGCAACCTCGGCTTAAGAGGTTACAGAAGTTTTACCAGCTGTAATGAACTCTTAATGCGTCCAAAATGTGCGTGTCAAATACTCCCCTCGGTTATGGAGCTCTGGTGAACTATTTCACCTTAGCG